AATATTTATTTTCTAAGACTTTGTGATCTTTTGAAATTGTGATGCTCAAATATTTTACCTCCTTCTTCAGCTTTATACCGTACAGTAATTGTGAAGGACACTCCTTTAATGCCAATAGTTCACATTTATTTAAATTTAGCTTTAAGCCTGAAGCTTTTGAGAACGTAGTGATTATTTGTTTTACCAGGGGGATCTGATGTTCATTTCTTAAGAGTGTCAGCCACAAGTTGACTAATTATTAAAAAATTATCCATAATCTCAATACCAGCAACGCTGCTGTTTTTAATTAGAATTGCAGCATCTCCACAACCATTAGGAATAACAACGGAGAGCTTCCACACCCTGATTCTTCTTTTGACGCTAAATCTTTCACCAGTGCCATAGCCTAACGACACAGAGCTGTTTATATCATTATACAGTATATCTATTATCTTCCTAAATTTATCCCCAAATCGAGTTAGTGTCAGGTTAGTGTGCAGGCAGGAGTGTTAGCAGGAGGACCCAATGTGCAGACACTCTGAGGCGGAAAGTAACTCAAACTCAGATTGATTGCTAAACTGAAAAGGTAAAAAACTTGCAAATAAACTTACTCAGACAGACCACACAGCAAGAAGAGATCACGACACAGAGAAACACAGGGCTTAAACACACAGAGGAGCAATCAGGGTAACAGGAGGGAAACACAGCTGGGCCAATCAGGCCTAACGAGACAAGGGGAAGCAAAACCAGATACATTAACGTAAGACATGGACCTTCAAAATAAAACAGGAAACATAACACAGACTGAACTAAAGACACAGACTCACACGCCGGCACTGCAACAGAGGGAACAGAGACGTGGGACCAGGACAGACACTGACTGGACACGGGGAGACAGCAGACAGGGGAGACGGAGCAACTAGAGAAGACAGAGACATAAACCATAAGACAGAACTCAACCAAAGACTAGAAATGATAAATAATATAATAAACTCAAAAACCCTGGGTCAGGCATCCTAACAGTTAGTGTTTCTAAAATAAAAGGATGTTCTACTGAATCGAAAGCTTCATAAAAGTCCAAGAAAAGAATAAAACTGTCATCACTAATTATATCATTGTAGTCCAGTAAGTCTAAGACCAATCTGATATTATTATGAATGTTCCTGTCTTTCAAAAACCCTGATTGTGTCTCACTAATTATACTTGAAACCCCTTGTTTAAGCCTTGTTTCAATTGAGCTCGAGAACATTTTATAATCTGTATTTAATAGAGTTATGGGCCTTAAGTTATCTAATGGTCGTTTATCTTTGTTTGGTTTAGGAATGAATGTAATTAATCCTTGTTTCATGCTAGACACCAATTTTCAACACTGGCCAGCTTTGAATAAAATTTCCCTTAAGTCTTAAATTAACTGTAAGCCCATCTGGACCAGGGGATTTATTAAGCGCCATTTTCTTTACAGATGCATCGAACTCTTCAATTCTAAAGTCAGAGTCACAAAATTCCTTAAACGATTCATCAGTTTTAGGGATCAGATGATCTATTTGATCAAAGAAGACATCACAGTCTGTGAGAACTGTGAGGAGGATCAATTGGAACAGATGTAGAAGTTTCATTCTCCAAGACATTAATGCCATCAATTAACAGGGAAGATATAACATTTCTTTTCTGTCCCAGAAAGATTAATAAGAGTAATTTTAAAACTTAGCAGCTGCCGCCATTGTTGGCAGCTGAAATTTGGCTGGGCGCTATGAATTCTGGGATATGGTGGGCCACGAAGGACACACCCGACCCATCCTTCAAATTCGGGGAAATGAAGGACGCATTTGTAGACGAATTGGGACAGCCTTCGGCACCTGGCTGTGACGTAATCGGCCTTCAAATGCGTCCTCCGGAGGATGCAGCCGACGTTTTGGGACACAGCGATTCTTTCTGGGTCACAAAATAAACTTTTAACATATTTTCAGGAGAGAAAGTAGCTGTGTAAACATCAAATATCTGCTTGGTTTATCAAGACATCGAAAACGTCGGCACACTTTTGCAAATATGCGGAGACGTCTGTTACCCACCAGCTCGATAGCAAGCCGGGGGGTTCAATGGTCACTCGAGGCAGCGAGAGCAGCGGACCCCCGCTCTTTCGCTACTCAGGTTAACCATGATATATAAGTCACTTAGATAACTTAAAATTTTTATTTTTTACCCTTTTTTCAGTGTTTTATTTGTTCCGGAGTAAATCGGTTTGGCTGAGATCAAAGTTATTAGATTATTAGATAAAATAAAACTTTATTAATCCATCGGGTGGGTTCCTCCTTGGTTTTCAAACAGAAGTGTGAGACGGTCGAGAGTTTCCTCCAGTGTCCTGTTATATTTTAGACAGCAAGGAGCAGACGGCTGAGTTTATTAAACTCCACCCACACAGCGGTGACGCAGATATGAAGGCCAGACCGTCACATTTCACAGCCTCGTACTTCGGCCTTCTCGGTCTTTGAAGGACCCGGCCCACGTAGACTGTGAAGGCCGGGTCCTCAGGAGGATGCAGCCGACGTTTTGGGACACAGCTTAACAAACCCTAACCCTACATGGCAGCTCTTTTGGGCTCTGTGACGTTGCCTCTCGGCCAAACAAGAACATTTACGAAGTGTCCTGTCTTAGTGCGGAGTGGGGCCAACAACAGTGGTTGAATATCAGACAAATATCTGAAATATGCTGTTTTGTGAAGTAATCACAAACTCAATACAAATGGCAGTACTGCACGTCTGGACTGTGTGGTTTAATTTTCCGACCAGGCCATTTGTTTCAGGATAAGAGGGCGAGGTGTCAGAAACTGCCTCCAAAACCAGCTCACCTGACGGTAAAGAGGCGCCACGCCACGTCTGCAGGTGATCAAACATCTGCCAGAATAAACACGACCTTCACGGACACCAGGACACTCGGACCGGCTGCTCACCTGCACCTTCCTGCTTCAGCTTCTGTTGTCTGAAAGCAGTCTGAGATCATCTCCTTTGGTTTCCTCTGACACAAACATCTATTTTTTATATTTTTAAATATTTAAACATTTTTATTTTTCTATATTTTCATCTTCAAAGTGTACCTGAGCAGCTACAGTTGCACAGTCTGACCACTGGAGGGCTCTGCTCTCTTCCTCTTGTGTTCACTGTGAGCAGCTCACGGTCCTGCTGGATGTCTACTGCCCTGCAGTGGCCGCTTCATTTCAACATCTGGATCAGGTTTAATAAACTAAGAACTTCCAGAAATGCCAAGGAGAGCTGGGTGGGCTCTGAGCATGCTCACAGTGACTTTTCAGTGATTCACCATGGCAACAGGTAAACACAGAGCAGAACGCCCATTTTAATCCGGAGGAACGTGACTGTGAGTCATCGCGCTCCCTCATAATGCAGAACAAACCGACCTGCAGCTGGTGGAGCCGTGACAGAGCTTAGATCACGCACGTTACTGATCTACAATGAACTCAAACTGACCTCAGGTGCAGGTCAGAGGTCAGCCTGAACAGGAGAAACCTGAGCGAGATGGTCTGCTGGGGGGAGGTACTCCTCGCCAACCTGGAGTAGGTGTCTCCCCTGAGAGGAGCTCGAGCTGCTGAAGCCAAGGCAGGTGTGAGCACGTCTGATGTTGAAGGTGAGCCCAGACCATTACGAAGGTCACCGCAGGTGACAGGAAGGTGGTGGAGGTGGAGTCTGCCGGGTTACACCCACACCTGCTTCTCCATCAGACTCAGGAGAAGTTCAGGGATAATCCGAGCGTTTCCAGCACGAAGGACGACGCTCTGAGATCGTCACACTAACATCTGGATCCACAACCACGAACTCCTGGATCTTTAAGAGTAGGCCACACCCTAATTTACAGCTGGGTGCAAATATCTCGGTTTTATTTTAGGTCTAAAACTGAGAAGCACATGAAGCTCGTACACATTCACTCTCAGACGCGAAGCGCTCACAGAAATCAAATATCAATAATAAATACATGATTATTATTATAAACAGTGATGACATACATGACCAGGTTTCTGGTGCAGCACAGCTACGTGCACACTCACTAAAGGTGGTAACTGTAAATAACCTTTAATAATAATAATCTAATAATCCTTTTAAAGCAGCGTGTCAAACAGAAAGCTGCAGGAGCAAGCACTGGGGTCTGGTCCACTAGGAGCTTTGGAAAGGACGATATATATCTCTTAAGTTTTACAGACATCCCAGTTCCTGTTCATGACCCTGTCACAGCCATCCTGCTCGTTTTATTTAAATCAATTCACTCACTGTATATAATGTTCTCCCTCCTGCACAGTCGAGGAGCGTGTCAGGACACCTTTATAAAATAAAGGATCTCGAACAAATACCTTCACACTGAACACGCTGCAAACACGATACTCTTTTTCTATCGAGCTTGTGGTGCAGCGTATACTCAAAGCAAATACGTTTCTGTGAACGCGTCCTCCAAAAACACGAAGCAATGACGAGCTGTCCCGATGAGTCCCGCGGAGCAGGCCGTGGGATTTCCAGGTTCCATTGAAGCTTTCGTCTGTGTTTCAGGAAGTCAGCTCGATCAGAGCCGACTGACCCAGCTGCAAGTATTTCACCATTTCAGTCTCATTGGATATTCAGTTCTGGATATTCTTGTTTTGGGTCTGAATAAACTGATCGAGAGCAGACAGGAACAATTAACACCGCACACCCGTCCCGTCACTGTGACGAGCGTCAGAGCAGAACCTGGGGAACGTTCACCCGACGAGCTCTGATGATGTCACCGACCCGTTGTTCCAGGTGTTCATGAAGAAGATCCAGATCAGCAGGTGAAAGGTCAGACCTTCAGGAAGTCCTCTCCTGGTGTTGACATCAGATCAGTGATCGCCGACTGTGGTGGAGCAGGTCACCTGCTAAGTGGAAGGTTGGTGGTTTGATCCCCGCCTGCACGCTGGTGTGAACGAGCGAGTGCTCAGCGCTGTAGAACAGCCGGTCAGTTTGGTTACCATGGTAACAGGCGAGTTTATTTAAACACTCAGGAAGGTTCTTTCAAAGGTTTATTACAAAACGCAAGACAAACATGTCAACTGGTTTATTCTATCAGCAAACACGACACAATGAACGACCTATCAGCAGGCGGCGCTGCAAACCCAACAAACCAACACAACATGGATCTAAGAGCACCGCGGACAGAGGAAAACGGCGGCTTCAAGGCCCAAAACAAACCAGAACATGGAGGCGGACGGGGTGGGGGAGGAGCCTTGTTTTCTACAGGACGCCACCGCCGCCTGCACACACTCATAAATAGATCAGAATTAAATTAAATCCAATCGATTCAAACAGTAAAAGTCTCAAAGTGTCAATAAGCAGGAAACAGAATGTGTGTGTGTGTGTGTGTGTGTGTGGGGGAGGGGGGGGGGTCAGGCACACTCCACAGGCTTTTATTTTGGAGAGTCCATCAGAATCCTGATGAATAAAAAACATCTGCAGGATTTTTTTTTTTTAAACATCTTAGATCGATCAGTCCGATCAGTCCCACTGATCACGAGTCTCAGATTAATCAATAAGTTTGGGAATTTGTTTTACACTCAAACTCTTTTTCCTAATCAGACCAATCCGTCTACTTCCGATCAGACCGGATGCTCTGATCAGTCCACCTCAGATCGGACTGATCTGATCAATGAACCACATCGGTAAGACGTCAAGTCCAAAATCAGAAATACAAACCAGCCCAACCGGACGTCTCCTCCGATTGGTCACAGGGACTCCTCCGGCTGAGCGAACCAGATTTGACCAGCAGCTTCAGGCCGTCAGTGACACTAAAGCAGATGGTTGTTTCAGATACTCTGAGCAGATCAAAGATCGGATCGATCAGTTCGAGCGCCGACCAACAAAAACTCCCAACCTTCACATTCCTTCATTATTCTTCCATATCTGAATTTTGCCTCTGCACACCTGAGATCAGCAGAGGTCACCTGACCATCAGCCTCAGAGTTCAGGTGACCTGCTCCGAGCACGCTCTGGCGGCCAAAACGCTTCGTGTTCAGACGTGGTTCCGATCTTCAGGCGCTCTGGGCAGAGCTGAAACCTGAGATCTGATCTTTGACGTCTGTGCAAGACTAAGAATCGTGTCTCTGCTTCCAATCAGCTGCTCTCAATCTGTGAGTTCGGGTCGGGACAGGTCCGTCCGAGTGCGCAGGTCTGATTACACTTGAAGCATCACCATCTGCGTTTATGTGTCACTGACTTCCTGAAAACAGCTGACTGGGTGGAAGTTAGGAACAAACCAAACTGATTTGGAGACTTTTACTTTGAAAACCATTTCCTGCTGTTGATGACGAAGATGAAGCTACAGGATAGCGATGGGCGGGGCTACTTCAAATTGTTTGTGGTAAAGTTTAAATATGGGTTCTATATTACATCAAATTCACAAATAAGTAGAACAGTTTGACCTTCGACCTCCGACACCAGCAAACATGACTGACCAGTTGGGGGTCACATGCTAAAATGAAAAAAAAAAAGTGTGGAAGGTGAAACGCAGCAGACCAATCAGAATGCAGCGCTAGGAAGAACCTCAGCCAATCAGGTTAGTCAAAGGGGATTGGGTGGGGCTGTAAGGGAGCAACGATGGAGATGAACAGGAAACGCATCAGAGGAGACGCAGGAAGTGAGCGAGGAGTTGATCACCGATTAATCCAAGCTCCAATATTATGATCGGAAGAGAAAAATAATCATTGATTATTCAATCGGCTTAAGATCACCTTAAGACCACCTTCACTGATCAATAATCTGTCTGTTGGCCGTGTGTGGAGATCAGAGGTGGTGAATACAGTCTGATGGACGATCAAAACAACCGATCGGCTCCGATTGATCGGAATGATTGATCACCAATAGTTTGGAAACTGAACCTGCAGGTATGATTATGTCAGGACTCCCATGCTGCTCCAGGTGGCCTATGGGGGACAGACAGGTGCAGGGGGCGGGGCAGGGGCGGGGCAGGTGAATCTAATCCATTTGTAAGAGCGTTTAGCTAACGGTCAGTTTTGACCATATATGGATATGTGTGCCGGCGGAGGGCCTCCCACCGTGCGGCCACAAGTGGAGATCCTGCTGCTATCTACACCAGAGAGGAACCAACAGTTCGTGAAACCCAGACAACCAGAATCTGTCCCAACGGGTCCAGAACTGGAGGAGAACTGGTCCAGAACGCTTCCAATCAGAACCTTCCAGAACTGGTCCCGTACCGACACCTTCACTCTGAGTCGGACTCGAGCGGCGCCGTCTCATCCAGTACGGGCCTCTTCCGGCGCTTGGCAGCGGCAGCGCGGGCACGCTGCTCTTCCTCCATGTGGGCCTTCTTGTGGCGCGAGAAGCTGGATGAGTGCATGAAGGTCTTGTTGCACGCCGCGCACGTGTACGTCTTGTTCTTGGCGGGGAGCCCGGTCTTCGGGTGCTGCTGAAGCTTCCCGCGCCCGTCGCCGTCAGCCGCCCGGTGGGTCAGTTGGTGTCGTGCCAGGCTGGAGGCGTGGCTGAACTGCTTCCCGCACTGGCCGCAGACATGGCGCCCTCCGCCTGGGGCGTCCTCATCCTCGGAAGAGGTCTGGCCCCGCTTGGCGGCCCGTCCGGCCCGGCGGCGGCGGTTCTTCTTGCACAGCGTGTAGAAGTTGGGTTTGTCGCGGGAGCAGAGCTTGAGGCGGATCTTAAGGTCGGACGAGGTCTCGACGAGGTTCTCCTTGCCCGGCGTGTAGTTGTCCAGCAGCTCCTTCACGTGCGTCACCTGGTGCTTCGACAGCTGCGTGGACGTCCGGAACGTCATGTCACACTGTGGGCAGGCGTAGAACTTATCTCCACCCTGGATGACGGCAGTCGCCACGTGCTGCTGCCGCTTGGTCTTCCGGTTCTTGGCACCGGCCTTCAGCGAGTGCCGCAGGGCTGCCACATTTGCACCGATGGCGGCGTCCTTTGGGATGCCTTTGCCCTTCTTGTGGATGAGGCGGTGGCGAGACAGGCTGGAACTGTGGTTGAACTCCTTTCCACAGATGTTGCAGGGGTGGATCCTCCGCTTCCCGTGCAGCCGCAGGTGGCTGCCCAGCATCCTGTCAGAGAACGGAAAACAGGAAGTGACATCACACAAGAGAACAGGAAAACACGTCAAGCTCGGAGAGACCGGAGACAAACCTGCTTCCTTTGAAGCTCATGCCGCAGTGGGGGCAGGTGTAGCGTGCGTCCTGGTGCGTCGGCTCCAGTGCTCGCTTGGCGAGGGGCGCGGCTCCCGAGCTCTTGCCCGTGTGCGTCTGCTGGTGGCGATACAGGCTGGAGGCGTGGCTGTAGCACTTCCCACAGTAGCTGCAGCGGAACTGCCGCTCATCGGGCTCATAGTTGTCCTGGTCCGAATCGGCCTCGCCATCCAACTGGCTGCTGCCCGCCTCCACCAGCACCTCGTGCTCCTCCACACCCTCGTCCTCCTCGTCAGAGTCCGTCTTTATTTCCACGCTCTGCTCCGTCACCTCGCAAGGGTACACCTCCTCATACGGGGCGAAAAACGCCTCATCCGCCTCGATCTTCAGCTGGTCGGCGGTCAGGTCCGACGGGTCGTCCGAGTCCTTCTTCACGCAGGAAATGGTGAACTTGGAGCCAACCTCTGCCCACTTCACTACGTACTCGATGGGCTGCGTGTCCAACTCCACCGTAATGAAGTCAGCACCCAGGGCGTCAGGCTCCGACACTGCCAGCTCCGCCTCCGAGTCCTCCATCATGAACAAGCGAACCCGGAGCGAAGAGGTGAAGAAGAACTTCTGAGGAGCAGCTGCAGATCTGAAAGGGGCGAGGAAATGGATTAGTGAAGCTGCCAAGTGATTGGTTAAATAAACACCTGAGACGACCTGACTATCGCCACACTTAGTTTATGAGATTCATTTGGTTTAAATGTTTTTATTATGTGTAACACATTTATTTATACATTACATCTTATGTGTAATGTATAAATGTATTCATTTATCTTGTATTTATTATTTTATTTCCCTTCGAGGCCTCAAGGGGGCAGTAAAACAGCAAGGCGCCACGTTCACATCACTGAAACTAGAAAAGCGAGCTGCTGACTGGGAGCTGGTGGACGTAAGGAGTGTGGACTGGAAGTCAGAAGCTGCACGCGAAGCAGGAATCTGCAAACATGGAGCTGAACGCATAAATTATCCACGACAATAAGGCACGGTGTTAACTCTGCACATCTGTGCAGGTACAGATCGGCGCTCCAACAGCATTCACATTGAAGCTAAACCACAGCCCACCAATGAGAACTTCCACCAATCAGATCACTCAGAGAGCATCCAGTCACATCTGACAGAAACAACAAGAAACAGGAAGAGATTCAAAGGAGTCGATTATCGATGAATGGATGCGCCAGTGATCAATAACATGGACACCAGACGATTGAGTAAAAACCACCAAACGCGCTAAACCAAGAAACAAGTCATCACTTCCTGTTCCCTCATCCTAAGGTCAGGTTCTCGTGTTCTTCTTCTCCTTTGTTAACGAGCAGCGTCACGGTGAGGTGACATTGGAAGACAAGCAGGAGTTACGCCAGAACTGCACAGATGTCATTGGACCTTAAATTAGACAACTTTTAATTGGAATTGGAGTTTAGGATCCTACAACCTGTACCTGCAGACCCAGGGGGGGGGGTCAACAGGTGCGCCTCAGGTGTCTGTCACCTCCGCGCACGCACACAGTGTGACGTCTTTTGTTCCTAATTTGACTTTCAGTTTCAGCCTAACGACAGAAAGGGTTAGCCCTTCATGACGTTACTGTAAATAACAAATGACCTCTGAACCTGCCTCGGCATCCTAAACTCCAGCCTGGGAGTGTCAGTGAGTCACGTGGCCACCGCCGGTTTGACCTGACAGCTCAAACCCGGCGGCCGTTCCGCTTAAACGCGGAATTCCGCCGCGCCGAACTCCGTTCACAATTCCGCGGTTTTAAGGTCGCGCAGCGCGCCGCGACCTGAGCAAAGGCGCCAGGCGGATTTTTCCACCGAAAACGCTTCTTCAATCAACGAAACATCGATTATACGTCGAATAAAACCGTTAACGTTTCTTTCACATTACATATGAGCAGACATATGAGCCATTTTCAGCAATCCCAGCGGTTATTTCCCAGTAGCAGCCCGCGGAGGGCGGCTGCCAGCAGGGCATCCATTATTAAAGACACCCGGTTCATCAGCACTTACAGCTTATTGTTCAGTTATCCAAAGGCCGAATTTTATCAAACACCGACTAAAATGCAGAAAAATCTTTAAGTGATGAAGAAAAACATTTTCTCTACGTCGCACCTCGAGTGGTTGAAAAATCGACGGTTTTCTGAGTGGAGTTCCGGTTCGGTCAGGCTCGCTGTCACTGATGAGGAAGCAGGAGGATTTTCTCCGCTGTCAAAATAAGAGAGCGGGATAAACGACGCGGAGCCGCCGGTAAAAGGGACCGGAATCCGGTAACTCACCGACCTTTGGCTGCAGGAGAGCGACGTTAAACGTCGGAATCACCGGGGGAAACGGCCACAATAAACAGGAAGCAGCCTCCGAGCTCACAGAGCATTGTGGGAAAGGATTAAATGGTTGGAAGAAACGGAAGTACGGCGGATTGTCCTTCAAAATAAGAGCGTAGTGAAACAAAGCCAAATAATAAAAACACCAAAAAAATCATAAAAACAATTACAAAATGAAAATAAACATAAATAACACGAATAAAATTATAAGGTATAATGTAATATAAGATATAAAAAATAAAATGTTAAATACAATAAAAAACAACATAATTTTCAATATAAAATTCTAAGCTGAGAAGTTAATAATGGCCTGTAAGTCATGATTCTGAAAAACCTTAAAGCTACAGATAAAACATGAAGTCTAGCAATAATAGGAGTTATTAATAACACAAAATTTAATTTTTTTAAATAGATCTCTGAACAATTTTATTTTGGAAAATTCCAAACTAAACCGGCTTCATGATTATTGTATTTTGACATATTTTAGTCACAAACAACCTGAAAATATATGATAATGATAACAATAATAATAATTATTATTACTGTTATTTTCTGTCAGAAGCTGCTGATCAATTAGTGATCAATCACACTGATCAACCGCTGCAGCATCTGTGACCTCAGGCCTGCATTATCATCTTCAGAATTACGTTAAAATGATGACATCATCATCATCATCATCACCGTGAGGCAGGGAAGGATGAAGATAAGGTCCTGAGAAGGAGGATGAAGGAGGGCTGAGAGCAAGAGAGGAGCCCGCGCAGCCACTCCTCTCCCCCCTCCTCCTCCCGGACCCTCGGCCTCTCTCGGTCGGGGATTCGGGCCGTTTCCGGCCCGCGTGCCGCCGCCGGCCTCCCGCTGAGCCCCGGTTCATTTATGGACCGCCTGTGTGACAAACCGCGCGCGACGTGTCCGTGTTTTCCCGCCTTAGCTCGCGGTTCCGTTCGTCACAAGCACTTACGTGAGACACCGAAGCGGTGCTGCTGCTCCCGGGTCGGTTCGGTTCGGTTCGGGTGTGAGTCGCTGCCGTGACCGCGCCTCTGTCACATCCAGCTGAGAGCGGCGGCGGCGCGGCGGCGGGGCGGAGCGTGCCCGGCCGCGCTCAATGAGCGGCGACGGCGCACAGGCGGCAGAGCCACAGCACACACTACGGCCTCTGATTGGTGGAGCTCCTGCGCAGCCTCTTTCTGATTGGACCGCGGAATTAAAGTCCACAAATGTCGCGAGATGTCGTAAAGCACTGAAAAGCCCGTTTGTGACGTAAAAATTTCTTTATTTATTTATACCGAAATTTCAGTCGATCTCTGGTGAGCTCCAATGATCAATGAGTGTGAGTGCGGCAGAAAAAAGGCCCTGCAGAACTCCGTGAGAAAATCCTCAGTTTTAGTGAATCTTCCTCGGATATCTGCTCCACTGCACTGAAAATCAAAGCTCTACATGTGGACCATCTCTAGAGTCCCCCCCCCCCCTATAATTTGGCACTTTAACCAGCTAATAATTCATATATTGTTCATATGTATATAGTGCTGCAGAACCCCTGTGGTTTCCCCATATGTCTGCACTGAGTAGCAGATGCTCTGTGTGTAACCCCTAACCCTAACCCTGTCTCATTGTGTGTGTGTGTAGTGACACTGAAAGGCATGCTATTCTTCTAAACAATAAACCTGATTAATCTCAGCTTCAGATGAGCGCCCAGGAGCACCTCGGCAACAGAATAAACATAAACATAAGATTTGTCTTGTATCCTGCCCCTCACTCCCAACCCGTCGCAGCACAACCAGGCCCAGAGTTTCCCCCTGTTAAAAGGGAGTTTTTCTTTCCCGCTGTCGCCACAGTGCTTGCTAATAGGAGGGCTGTTTGGTTGTCGGGGTTATCTCTGTTTTCTCTGTATTATTGTAGGGGCTTTACCTTACAGTATAAAGCGCCTTGAGCCAACTGTTGTTATGATTTGGCGGTATGTAAATAAAAATGAATTCAGTTATAATTGAAGTTGAATAAAATCGGTCAGATTGTGAATGAATTCTGGTGTCAGATCCAGCTCACAGGTTCTTCCAGCTGAGATAAAAACAACCAGTGAAAAGGTTTTTATTTTGTTTTATTCTGTAAATGAGTGTTAGTGAGGCAGTCCATGCTTAACACGTTTTAAATTTTAACTGTCCTAACTTTAATTAAATGTCCATCCATCCATTCTCCTCCACTTGTCTTTATCAGGGAGGAGGGGGTGGATGTGGGGCTGGAACCTATGCCAGCTACCGTAAGGCAAAACGTGAGGTACACCCTGGACAATTCACTAGCCTGACACAGGGCTAATCCATTATTATTTACACAAATAGAATAAAAAAGTAAGCACCCTAATCCAGCGGCTCTGCTGCAGGATCCAGAGTTACTCTGCAAATTTACCTCATGAGTTAAACTGCAGGTCTGAGGTCAGAGCCCCGCATGACCCTCAGGATCAGGGCGAGGGACACAGTGTGACATCACCAGAGGCAGGAATTAACAAAGCACAAATACTTCATTTCAGTAATTGAGCAGAATTTGAAGTATTTTCATGGACTACAGGTGACTGCGGTACTTCAGGATCTAACTAGCACTACAGAAGACAAGCAGAGAGTGATGTTTTAAGTGTTGGGTAATTTTAAATGCAGTGTTTCTATCAGCTCAACAAACATCACCAAACACAAACTGTGTGTGTGCAGTTTGTCTCACAGTGTGCTGCAGCTAAAGGTCCAGCTGCTGTATTTGACAGAGAGCTACGTTCACCCGGAGATGGAGACAGATAAGAAAGAAGGAGAGGACGAAGAGAGCTTAGAGTTAAAGGAAGGATGCTCATTTAAAGCTTGCGTGGAAGTCCTCATGGTTTTAAATCTGTACGCGTCACAGCAGACTGACTGTGTTATTTAAAGGCTGCAGGTTAGTGCAGGATGAACAGGTGAGTTTGCTGCACTGTGGTGGGTTTAAAGTAAAGAACAGTGCGTGATGGTGCACAGTGGCTGTGGGTTCATGGTCACAGCTAGCTTACATCAAGTGTAGCAGAGACTCACTGACTGAATTCCACCTTCATACCAACGGTACACGGTCTAGTATAAAGACGGTGTGAAGTTGTGTAAACCCACAAAGAGCAGCAGCCTGTGCTGGGTCTCACATTAGAAGTTATTGTGATTTACTTTGCTCACACTGAGCCATTTAGGCTGAAATAAAGTATTGCCATATTACTTTATTATAGTAAAGTAGCACAAGGTTTAGTTAGTTTTGCTCAAAAATAGCTGTTAAACATCCTTCAGGGATCTCACTCTGAGGACATTTCAGAGCTGGTACTTTTTAACTTTTACTTGAGTAAAGAAGTTGAATGAGTACTTCAGGTTTTACCAGAGTATCTTTAAAATTAGTATTAGTGTAACTGGGTCATAAATTACATATTGTTATAATTACACAAATTTTATTTGCCAGTTTATATCTGACTTTTAGGACCTTCAAGCCTGTAGTTCATTATCAGTTGGAGCCCCTCCTCATCCTTCTTCTTCTTCTTTGGTGCAACCCTATAAACAGTGTGGTGTGCCCCAGGGGTCTGTTTTGGGCCCTATGTTATTCTCTCTGTACATGTTGCCCTTGGGATCTATTTTCCAAAGATATAATATTTCTTTCCATTGTTATGCCGATGACATTCAAATGTATTTTCCTTTGAGTTTGCATGTCACAGATCCATCACATACGTTCTTTAACTGTCTTCATGATGTGAGAACCTGGCTGTGGTGGGAATAAGGCATGGCGGGACCACAGATCATCATTTAGAGCGATTTTATTCAAATCACATCACACACCAACCCCTGAGTCCCCGTGTTTTTAACTCGGCGGGTGAGATTAAGGATGCCGTGCAGGTGCGTCCGCCCTCCCTGCATGGCACCTGCAGACCACGCCCCACCACACTGGCCATCTCAAAACTCTCTTACCTTGAATGACAGTAAAACTGAAGTTATTGTCTTTGACAGCTAGGGATGGGTATCGAAACCCGGTTCTTGTTGAGAACCGCTTCCCACTGTTTCAATTCCTTGGAATTGTTTGCCATCTTTGCAAACGATTCCCTTATCGATTCCAGTCGCCCCGAATGACGTCACCACGTTGCGGAGCGTCATTTACCTGGCAGAAAACACGGCGACTCAAACGCTC